GTGCAATATTTTCTTGAAATAATACAAGTTTATTCACTACACTTGACCATGCAGTATTTAAAGTATGTTTCTTGGAATAATTCAGCCCCAGTAAGAGAAAACTCTAATGTTAATACAAATACAAGATAAACTAAATATATTGTGGATTAATCATTATCATTGTTGTATGAAGAAACATCTAACGATTGATTCTGGTTTGTCACAATTTCTTCTATCATAAAGATACTCCATCTTATTTTTAACTTCTTGCTTTATTCATTCATTGATAGACTTAAGATGGAGAAGGTAAAGGAATGAATAATTTAGGAAAACATACTGTGGTGGTTAAAATTCAACCCCAATCTTTCTTGATTATTGATTAAAATAAATGAAATAAAGTTTATTACGTTTACATTCTTCATAATGTGACTGAATATTGAAAATTGTGAAATATAAGTATATAATCATATTGAAGATTTCTATAGATTATTGGAGGTTTTATAGATTCTTAATGTCTGTAATTGTGTTCACATCAAACAGCCCAAGATGAGGGGAGATCAATATACTTTAGGCTATACATATGATAAATCCTCAACCCAAAACATTGATCAGTATAAAGTCAGTCACCGTACAAAATTAACAGTTCCAAAACAGTTATAAATTGAACTGCTTGACATTTCAGAAAAAACAATAATAATAACCTTTGGACAGAATTGGCACTGTGCATGTTTAAAAGACGATGGTCTAGAAATTTCAACAACAGAAAAATCCACGTAAAATAATACAAGCTATAGATTCTTTGTGTTTTTTTTTACTTTTTACTTTGATTTCAATTCAAAATCTATGCTCTTTGAATTAATAAATACTAGGTGTATTTTCATATGTTTAAAATATTTCTACAAAGATTATTTTTTACTTCTTGAAAAAACTAGAAAATCATCTGTTTGAAACTTCAGATTCTGTTTCTAACATTCATTTTCTCATGGTAATTGAAATGACTTGGAGTTTTACATCAAACTTGTTGCGCCTGATTTGGCTAATAAAGACGGCAACGCCATACAGTGTGTAATGAGATAAATTTTGTCAAAACATTCCACTGTTGCGGAATCTTAAACGTGCACAGCTTTTAGCACACAGAGCCTCATATTTTTTTGTCCCATCCGAGCAATGAGGCGTCTTTTCCACGTCTGCCCCTCTTACCTGTATCACTGACAGGGGGAAACCGGGTTGAAAAATCCGAAGGTATTTTGTCTACCTCTACTAGGATTGAACCCGACCTTCGAGTTTATCGAGCAAGCCTCTTACTGAGCTATCGCAGCTCCCTTGCTTATTTCTGGTAGTTTTGTTAGTTTAAATCTATTGGTACAATCTGTACCATTTGTTAATCCATCTTCAATTCTAACATTAATACAGTTAATTCTAACAACTAAAGATATAGATTCTAGAATAACATTACAACATAATGTTTCTTCTGCAATAACACTGGCATTGAATTTCTACATCTTATTATTGCACAAGTTAGATGTTGCACATTATAAGGATATTCATTATTGTCGATAAGAATAATTCACATTTTTAAAATTTAGTTTCACAAAGATTCTATAAATAATTTGCTGTCCATTTGACTTTATTTCAAAATTATCTTGCAAATGGACCATAATTTGTTCTCAAATCTCCAAATACATAACCATCAAATAGTAGCTTCACTTTGAATAAGTCAAAAATTACAATAACATGAATCCCACAATTATATTATTACAATTAATTATATATCATTGACTGATTTTCACGTATTATGAATTGCATTTCCTTTGATATTAAAAGCTGCTTTGACAGTAGATGCTACTAACAATTAGTAATTATCATAAACTTTTGAGGAATAAAACCTTAATAAATCTTAATTGTTTCTCAAGTTTAATTTCTAATAAGAGTTATTTTATATATTCATTGCACCTTCAACATTAAAGGGACAGATGGGCCATTTTTGGGGGTTGATTAGGCCTATAGTCTTGAATACATGTAAATAGTCTTCAGAAGTACTAAAAATGTACGAAAATCACATAGTTCCTTTAAAAGATACTTCTCACTATTTCTATATTAGTCTCATTTATATCAGTATCTTAAATTGACGTGTCGTTATTTTAAAATTCAAACGCAGATAATTCTGGACAGACATGGATTTGAAGGCTCAAATTCCAGTTTCTAAGACTATGATTGGTCAAAAAATGGCCTACCGTCACTTTAACTCCATTATTTTCACATTGTTTCTGAAGTATTAATACATCAACAAAAGAATATAATCGGCTAAATAAAAACTGAAGTAGTCCTTAAATCCAGAATATCGCAAAGGCGCAAAATTTTGTTTTAAAACAACGAAGTTTCCCAGTACAAAATTATTCAATATATCTCCAACTCTTGACATGAAACTTTGTCTCGAATATGACAAAAGTGACATGCGTGATGACTTTGATTTTCCATTTGTCAATTTTCCTTTATGTGCAGCAACATTCAGTATTAATTACCAACAGAGTAGTATATGTGACGGAACGCTAGAGCTTGTTCTTTTTACGCTGATTTCTTATTTAGATCGATGCATTTGACATCATAACTACTGAAGAGTATTTAAAAACCGACTGAAAACTTCCCCTCAAAATTTTACAACCGTCATCATAACCTAATCGAAAAATATAACGCGTCTGTAACTGCTATTGCCACAGGAGTTTCAGGCCCAAGTTACAATATGAATTATGATATATGTGGTTCAAGCATTGTATCTCGTATACATGTATATCTTCTTTGAACTCTTCGACGTTTTTTCCCTCTTTTCCCCATTTCGTTCTACATCGGTTAATCTTAATCTCATTTAACTTTTGAATAAAACCTCACCCCGAAAATCATCTGATAAATTAAAAAATGTAACCTGATTTCATCCTTCTCTACAGAACTAGCATTTCAATGTCGAACGTTCCTAATCTTGGTATTTTCAATGACACCATCATAAAGGTTAACCCTCAGATTCACTGTCATTATTATAAGTACATGTATCTGATAATAATCCTTTTCACAAGATTATTTACATAATTAACATATTTAGATTTTACATGGTTCTTTAGAAGATCATGGGGTACAAAAGTTCTAGTTCCAAATGAGATGTTCGAATTAAGGGCAAAATATTATATTGCTATTATAATGCAAATGCGTCCAAGGATAGCGGTAGGGTAGAAGCTGTTACAGTTAAATCCAAAACCTAAATGTAGCTTTGCTTGCTCCCAAGTCCTTGCCTTACACGGAATTTAATTCTGTTGTAAAGGTTTTTGTTCATCAAATACGAAATGCTTCAGACACAAACTCCATGCCTCTCTTAGGAGATTGAACCAAACCCTATTGTGTCAACATGAGGAAAAAAAGTTTCTGTGTCGCCCGTATCAATCGAGATACATAATTACTTTGTGATTACTGCCATGTCCGCCTGGAATTTCATGCTTTATTGTGTCAAGGTGCCATTTAGATCGTTTGGTGTTGATGCCCCATTTGCGTTGTAGGCCTAAAATCACATGTTTTGCCCAAAATTTAAGCCTCGTGAATATATCAATAAAAAGCAATAAACGACTGTATTACAAAATAAAGAACTCTTCAAAGCTCTTTGATACACTTTTAATAACTACACACTTCTAATACATAATGATAGTTTAATATTGGACAATAACATATTTATACCCATATGGTGGATTAATCTTAATACTGTCAATAATCATACAACCGAACACGACAAAATAACTTTACATTGAATGAATAACGCACGCCTGATATTGAACTATTGGCGTGTTTTATTGACGATTGGACCATAACGAACCGATATACCGTTATAGTGTACATGTTGCTACGTGACGCCAATCTTAGTAAAAAATTTTAACTGATACGAGAAAAACACACCTGTCTTCGGATGGAATATGACCCAGTAATATTCTAGGTAATCATTATGATATAATAGCATGGCACCGCGACAATATCTGCTGTATAATATACCTTAATACGAACGTTGATTAAATTAAAAACATAGCTTGAGAATATGTCGTATTGCCCTACTATCAGTCTTGTTCGTATATCAGGTCACTAATTTTATTGACAACAAAAATGATTTGTATCAAAAATAATTTGTATTAGGGGGTGAAAGCCGACACTGGGTCGACTCTCGGAAGCAGAGGCACAGGCATCAGAATTTTTCTTACTTTGTTGAGGATTCGAACCCACGGCACCTATCGTATTCCCTTTCAGTCTTGTTCGCATTTCAGGTGAAATTATTGACAACAAAAATTATTTGTGTTGGCGATAGCTTAAGGCGTCATATAATCGACTAGGTGTTATCCTCATTTGCCATAAATTTGAGACTTTGAATGCCTAGACTGAAAATACATGATAACATGTTTTTATTTTATTAAAGGAGCACCTTCACTATTCGTTCAACCAATCATTCCTTAGTTTAAGAAACAGGAATTTTTTTTAGCTTACATAATCAGTAATAGTGTTCACAGCTCATCAAGGATATATAAGCCTTCAAATCCACGATTATCCATAATTATTCATGTTTGAATGTTAAAAATTCGACTCGAATTTTAGTGAGACTATGCCATATAGAAAACACATATATAGGAATAGACAGTCAAATTTCTAGTTTGAGTTATATTTGAAGGGATTATGCGATTTCTGTGCGTTTTAGTATTCTTAAGTTAGTAATAAAAGCAAGAATGGTTTTGGGGTGAACCACACATAGAATGGTTCTTGGGGTGAACCACACATAGAATGGTTCTTGGGGTGAACCACACATAGTAAGATGACTGTAATAGCATATTAATTACCTTTACTAGGAAATTTATAGGTATTGAGAAGCTCACCCAGAACAAGTCACAAGTTCTTAAATAGTTTCCAGATTACATATTTTAAATCCATTTTAGGAGTAGATTTCCTGATACAAATTGTCTTGATTGCAACAACTTCTATCAGATTCAGAATACCTCAATACTATGCCTACAAAACAATCTTCACAACCAAGGAACTTTACTGGCATATATCTCGGATTGGTATGTTTCTTAAAACAATTGCATATATATGGATAGATTCTTCTAGATGTTAGAATTAAATCAAAATGTTGGATGGCTGCACATCACATTGGAAATTGAAAAAACTTAAATTGGTAATACCTATCTATATTATTTCAATAAGGTTCTGTAGGAAGTAGAACATTGAACTCATCTGTTCTGATTGGACAGTCTTAAAAACTACTGTATTTGTAGGAAGGTAATGTCAATCCACCAAAACAAAGAAGTGGTATTCCACCATTAGTTAGACCAAGAGGAACTCAATCCTTTAAAGTACGAACCCCAGTAGAAGAGAGACGCTATGTGAGTATTGAGTAAACAATGTTGCAATGAAGCTTACGTGTGGTTGTTTGATATTTGACACATGATAGCTTTTTAGATAGAAATTATTTTTTTTCGGGTAGCAGCTGTAATTTTTCTTTTTTTAAATTTTTGCTCAAAACACAGATTTGTACAAAACTTGGTAGAATTTATTTGGGCTGATTGCTGGTTTATTTGTTAGTAAATTTATGTACATAATCAAGGGGGAATAATTCTACTCAGTCTATTATATTTTACTCTATGATTTTGTTCTAGGCCCCAGCATTATATCATGAAAAGAAGGTAGGATCTATATACAAATCTGAGCACATCCCAATTCTGGTACACCCATGCTTTTTAGAATGCTTAGGACTCCTGTTGGTAACATATAGTTGCATACAAATTACCTAAATCAATATCTATATATTTTACAATTACTCTGGACTGTATAATAATGCCAAATTCATTCTAAGTATTTTTTTCAGCTTTATGAGCATGTGGATTTGGCCCTTTTTAAAGGGATTGTTCAGGGGTTTTCCAAACTTTTTTTTATGTGTATCAACTTCCACCATTTCAATTGCAATGTTATAAAGGATATTTTCATTATATTATACTGAAGTACTGAAATCAAGTTTGTACTATAAACATACATCCTATAAATGTAGAGTTGGGTTTGGCATTGCATTTAATTTCAATTATCTGACTTGAATATTAAAACTATCTTTCTCACTTCCTTTCAGTTATAACAGGTGTTGGTAAATTGATAGTTTTAACTGCTTTATTACCGGTTTAAATTAAGTTGAAATTTGGTTCTAATCTAGGTACTCCCAAAAATGTAATGTTGTAATATAATAACTATGAAGATTTTTCTTTGAACAGTGTATTTTAAGCATGGTTCCCTGCAGTAATTGACTATTTTTGATGACCAAACATGTAGGCCTACATGAGATCTCTTTTGGGAAAAAATTACAAATATACTTCTAGATAAACTGTCACAAATCAACTCAGTTTTCAAATTCTAGACTGGAATTCATATCACTTTCAGCAAATGGTAGAATTGATTAGAATAAAGGAAGAGAAGAGAGGATTTGTTGGTCAGCCTCTTAAGGTATTTGTTGTTTAATAGGACTATACAATGTACAAAGTCAAATATGTCATCAAGAAAATTGATATTGTGTGTTGTTAACTAGCATCTAAATGAACTGGTAGCTTTTATATCCAGTTTTTAGTGACTGGATACATTAAACATCAGGTCATCTAGGTTCTGGAAATATGTTACATGGCCATCAGGTACACGTTTGCAATCACATGCATATTGGGATAAGATAATGAATGTCTGAAATTTCATTACTTCACATAGATATTTTTTGTTTTACTAGAAAAGTGAAGTAAATAACAACAAGAGACCAGTTACTACATCACCGACAGCTTCACCAAGAAGATGGGGACCTGCTCGACGTACTAACTCACTGAAATTTAATGAAAGAATCAGGTATTGAAAGTAGATTATTAAATTTTATGAAGGTGACATATGGTCACCAGCAGCTTTGATTACAGGATACAAACAATGATTTGTAATTGCAGAGTGAGCACGAGCCAAGTGTGAACAGATGCACAGACAAAAATATGCTTCTATACTATGTGTTGACTGTTGGCATATAAAAATCAAAAGAATTGTTGCCTCTAGAGTGAGCAAGAGCTGCACAATATAGCTAACAGAGTGGAAACACTAAGTCAGACAAGATATTTCAGATCATCATAAAAATCGATAGGGATCATCTTCTTATTGACATTGATCTGCAAAATAAAAATCAAAAGAATCCATAAAGAATTGTAACCTGAAGAATGAGCAGAAGTCAAATCTAAACGAACATATTGACGGACTGACAGTTCGATTACAATATATGCCCAATCTAGCATACTTACTGATTGATGAACCTATAACCACCTGATCGGGCTTTGCAGCTCTTATTTATTTTACTTACTTATGCTTGTTGTTTCTGCAGAAGCACAGTCCTCAGAGTCTTGGGCTGCCCTCTCTGGTTGTAATGCTACTGGTTGGATTACTTAGTGTATGACCAGTCCATCCCCATCATGTGTGTTGGATTTCATCTTCAATTGGCAGGTCCAAGTTACTGTTGGTATTGGGCCTATGGATATTTATATCATTTAAAACAAATTTCAGGACAAATCCAAGAAATTTTACACCAATATTAAACAGTGGAGTAACAAGATCTGAGAATTTAACAGGATTTGCAAGTTATTCTCTATCTAATCCTGATATACGACAGGTACATATTGATGATATATCTGGGGATTTCAGTAAACTAGGTGTGGTACCTGACAATATATCTACTGTTGGTGATCAATATAATAGACTTTATGAGGTAAGATAATATATTCCAGTAAACATGCACTAAGGAAAGTGTATTTGTAATAATTGAATTGGGACAAGATCATAGTAATAAGATTGGGATAAGAATATAATAATAAGACTGGGATAAGTTCATAATAATAAGATTGGGATTAGATCATAATAATTAGATTGGGACAAGATCATAATAATAAGATTGGGATTAGATCATAATAATTAGATTGGGACAAGATCATAATAATAAGATTGGGATAAGAATATTATAATAATAAGACTGGGATAAGATCATAATAATAAGATTGGGATTAGAATATAATTATTAGATTGGGACAAGATCATAATAATAAGAATGGGATATGAGTATAACAATTAAATTGGGATAAGATTATAATAATTAGATTGGGATAAGATCATAATTATAACATTGAGATAAAATCGTAATAATAAGATTGGGATAAGAATATGATAATAAGACTGGGACAAGAATATAATTATTAGATTGGGACAAGATCATAATAATAAGAATGGAATTAAATTTTGATAAGATTATAATAATAAGATTGGGATTAGAATATAATTATTAGATTGGGACAAGATCATAATAATAAGAATGGGATATGAGTATAACAATTAAATTGGGATAAGATTATAATAATTAGATTGGGATAAGATCATAATTATAACATTTCTTCCTTGAGTGGCATTTAGTAATTGATGATATTAACA